AACTCATCGTGCTGCTGTAGATTGGAAAGTTCAAACCCACACTCGTGCTATCAATGTTTTCAGTTATGTAAAAATGACCTATGTGTTATCTAAACTCATCGTGCTGCTGTAGATTGGAAAGTTCCAACCCACACTCGTGCTATCAATGTTTTCAGTTATGTAAAAATGACCAATGTGTTATCTAAACTCATCGTGCTGCTGTAGTTTGGAAAGTTCCAACCCACACTCGTGCTATCAATGTCTTCAGTTATGTAAAAATGACCTATGTGGGTTAGATCATTTGTGCAGAACAACTTTTTGACAATGATAAAGGTAGGATATTGAATGTTCTGTAATTACATGTAGATGTAGATATGGATTTACCATTTCATTTGTTCACCTTTCTATCGCAAAAGAGTGTTATGTGACATCAAAATGCGCACAACATCTTTTTACACACAATGTTAAAATACATTTTTTTATCATTTCAAAAAATATTATTACACTTTGGAATATCCTTAACCCTAACAACACTGATTTGAGTCTACAAACTAATACTTATCGGTGACTGAAAAAAATCCCATAAATCACTCCAGCGAGAAGTAAGGTCATAAATGACTATGGAAAAGCTCAAAATAGTTTCGTCTTCTATACAGTAAACAGCGCTTTACAATGCGAATGTTTAACATTCAGAAGATAAAGAGTACGAGTACAATTGTCACTGTACTCGAGTAGTAACCAACACCTAGGGTGTGCATTACGGTAGCTTATATAAATACGAAACTTGCAGATAAGAACATCATTGATGACGTGGTTGACTTTACTACTCACTTTACTTCAAGTGCTACAACAATGAGCATTAATGATTAGAGTAATAATACTTGTTTCGGTAGTTTTTAAAATAAATTTATAAGAACGTATTGAAATTTTGATTTGTTTATTATTTCGTTTCTTGACATCTTTTAAAAACTGGCAGTAATGGGAAATTTGCGTAAAGCAAAAATGACCTTAGTCATTAATTGTCATTTTTGAATAATAATGAATAGTTTACTGTTATGAAAATGTCATGTCCTAACATATAACGATGATTAAAACAAGAAGACAAATCTAGTATTCATCACTGATTTTTAAAATAAAGCGAAATATTTTGGTCATCTAGTCAAATCTATGATTTATGGGTCATAAAAACGTCCATATATACTGCAACCATAACACAAAAGATACACCAACAAACTCTTCACTGTGTGATATGCTATACATGTATATATTTATAACTTAGACTTGGAATAAAACCAACACACGAACTTCAATATATGACTAGATTAAAGTAAAAATAATTGTATTCGTGTTTTTCTGAATATTTAAATAGCATGTTGTAAATATGATAATGGATAAATAATGAAATATTATTATAATG